TGGTGTGCCATCTTTATCATCTATTATGGGGTAAGTGATTTCTTCACACTGTGAGTTAAATACATGGTTTATACATTGATTTAAGCATGAAAATTTGTAGAAATTTAAAATTTTGGTAGAAAACCTAGAAATTGATATTTTTAGATTTTGACCACCAAATTGGATATGAAATTTGGAATAAATTATATATTTGAGTTCGTAGTGTTATGGGTATAGTTTATCTTCGAATATTTTCGGAATCCGGGCACATGGGCCCGAGGGTTGATTTTATTGACTTTCGAGCGGAGTTGAGAATTTTTATAAATTGTTAAGTTGTAAGGATTGGAGTATATTTTGATTGAATTACGCGTGGTTTGACTAGTTTCGAGACGTTTGGCTTTTGAGTTGAGGTGTTAGAGAGGCGTTCGAGCCGGTTATGGAACTTCGGAGCGAGGTAAGTCTCCTGTCTAACCTTGTGAGGGGAAAACTATCCCCTAAGTAATATTTATTGTTATGTGCAACTAGTTGTGGGTGCTATGTACGCACGAGGTGACGAAAGTTCGTACGTAGCTAAAGCATGTTTATGTCCGGGTAGACTTAGGATTTTATCATGTAATAATTAAATTATTTGAACTCGTTATGATGACTTAATTAATTAAAGTTATAACTTAATTTGATTTAGAAATAAAAATATGTATACGAGGCTGAGCCTTAACACTTTGAGTTGTGGGCGAGTTATTTGAGAAACAGTAAGGATCATATTCATTTTGTGCTCATGTATTGTATTGTAAGCACGTGTCTCGTAGTTCAGTAATTTCCTTCCTTTCTTGTGGAGCGAACGCCTCGGCAGTATAATGGATGCATCTATGGTTCGTGACGCTTAACCCTCGGCATTGTACACATTATTCTGGATCGGGCCGAACGACCTCGGCAGAATCGTGCTCTATATCGCTAATAGTCCGAATATTCACAAGATAATCTTTCCGTTGATGCCCGATAATTTATATGGTATTCTTTATTTATTTGATATTAGCACTTGACATTTTCGGAGTTGTTAAGGTAGAATACAAAGTTGAGAAATTCATACCTTAAAAGGAATATTTGAAAGATTATGTAACTTACAGATTTACCCCATTATTGTTGTGTGCTTTCGATCTGCTAATGATTTATCATATTGCTTCATTGGACCTCTAGTAAGTGTCGATGTCGACCCCTCGTCACTACTTCTCCGGAGTTAGGCTAGATACTTACTGGGTACGCGTTGATTTACGTACTCATACTGCACTTTTGCACTAAATGTGCAGGATCTAACAGGTTCACTTGATGATCATCTTGGCATGTAGGCGCATTTGTTGAGGAAACTTTATGTGAGCTGCATTCCAGGCTACGCATCACAGTCCACCGAGTCTCCATCATATTATTTATTTTATCTTGTCTTATTACATTCTGGACTGATGTTGTATTATTATTGTGCTCCTTAGAAATGCTCATGCACTTGTGATACCGGGTTATGGGATTATACTAGTTGATGCTTAGGTTTTCGTACATTATTATCGCCTTTCATTTCTTTTATAAATTACAAATGTTGTACGTTCCCATGACTTGGAAGTGTAAATCTCCCTTTCTTATTAAAATTTGTGATTTCGAAAGTAATAAAATGAGTAATCAAATTGGTAAATATATATTGGCTTGCCTGATGGCGGCGTTAAGCGCCATCACGATCTATATTAGATTTTGGGTCGTGACAGATGCCCTACTAAATGCTTCTAACAAGCTGTGTGAGAATTACATGTAAATGGCAAAGGACACAGACACAACAATTTAAAGGACACAAGACATATTCAATGTTGGGATCTGGTCCTTTGTTTTGTAGTTGCTTTGTTCTTCAATGCACCTGAAGGAAACAGAGACGGCTGCACACTTGAGAGAATATGTGTTTTTGTAATTGCAAATGTTAGGTCAAAATCTTGTAATGTGTAATGTTGTATATATATATGTGAGATTATGAGGTTAGTTACAAGGGTATTTCCGGTTTAGCAAATTACAGTTGTGTTACCGTACTTGTGCAAGTACGGTGCAACAACTTTAACAATTGTAGAGTTTACTTGCGCGGCGACCTGAGAACCTGATCCTATTTGTTCCCTTTGCAGTTCCCTTGTATGCTTTTCTTGATAATTAAACCAGACAACAAGATATGTTGCAGTTAGCACAAGGAAACTGGTTGTATCATATTCCTATTTAGTTCTTTCATGAAATTTGACAAATCATCAAACCATACTCGCATAACTTATCATGGTCTCATTTAATTGGAACACATAAAAAATTATTGCATCAGCATAAACTAGGGTAAAAACTTATTGGCGTCCAATTTTTTTATATTAAATTAAATAATTTATCCTTAACAGTTAATCATTATAATAAAAAATAAGTATCACAAATATGGAGTTTGAGAGGATAATATATANAAAACATAGGCAGCAAAATAACAAGAAAACTTAAAATATAGAAAATATCAAGTAATAATAGAAATAAAGTAATATTAAGTGTGAGTAAATTTTACCATAAGCAAGTGTGGATAAAAGTAGTGTGGCAGCGGGTAGCTAGGCCACCAGCGCTCTTACTTCAAGATCATCGATCTTTGTTGAATAGATAGGGAAATGACTTTCTTGCTCAGAGTCTCTCTTTTCCTAATTTCTAAAACATTCCAAAGCATTAATATCTCTCTCCCTCTCCGAAGTCTCGCCCCCCTCGTCCGCTTCAACATAAAGCCAAAGGAGAGGTCACTTAATAACCAGATGACTCCCACCGACTCACTCTTTCATTCAGCAGTATACGTAAGATTTTTCGTAAGCGGTGTCATAATTTTAAATAGTGAACCACTAATAATTCACTTTAACAATATTATACTTAAAAGAATACCGTTCAAATCATAATAATAAATCACAATTCAGGTATATTATGACAACTCTTATCGATGAATTTTCATTTATAAAAATATATCAATAAAAATGTATCAAAATAATCTCAGTAGGAATAATATTACATACCTTTTTTATAAAAAGAACCAAGAAATCACACAATAAATTTATCTTTTGTTTGATTTCACAAATCGTTCTTAATCAATTTCATGCCAGGAGAGAAGATGAAAGAACAAAAAGAAAATTAAAAAAATAACTTGAAATAACAACCAAATAATTTATTATCACTATATTAACCAAATTTGGCTCTTTAACATATTGGTCGAGAATCTCTCTCATAACACTAATAGGTAAGTCGTTCAAACACCGAACATAGTTTTTATTTTGTACATGACGCAAAAAATAATTTAAAACAGAAAATGAAGCTAGCTGGTTTCAAACTTCTGACGTCTCCCAAACATCTGCAGCACTTGACCAAATCTGCTACACAGCTAATGTGTAAAGTGGTGTCACGTTTACTCTATTTAACCTATTTTTATTTCTGCATTTTAATTATATATACATATTTTTCCGACGAAACGTCACGTGACACCACTTGGCCTAGATCCGTCCCTACTTTCAATCATAACACCAAAACTCATGACATTAACCCCATCTTTTAAAGTCTATCCCAACTATTTTCCTTTCTCTGTAATCTACAATTCCCTTGTTATATATCATGTATATAATTATATTGAGCAAATTACACTAAACATTTACACATTTATATACATTCATTTTAGGTGACAAATGAGTTTAAACTTTAATACATTCGTGTTCTCATTTAGTTGTCAAGATAAGTTTTTACTCGCCCTTTAAGAAAATATTAATAAGAGAGTAATTTGAATAATATGATCGTATTGATTATTTAATCTTTGACCACATTAATCTATTTTTAATAAATAAGTGAACTCTATTTATACATACCCCTTAATTTCTAAAACAACTAATGCTAAGGATGCAGCAGGAAGTTTGTAACATACATCATGAATTACGGAGTAAGAATTCGAAACTTACAACTTATTGATGGAATGTATGCGAGCTCAATATCTTCCTAATTTTATCGATTATCTCGAAGGATATGGAATATATGTAAGCTTTTCAATTGTGAGATATACTCCAATCTCCCACAAAATTGTTTTGGTGGAATATAAAAAGGATAAACCTTTTATTTCTTCTTTTGGTCATATTCCATGACTAGAAAATATAAGTAAGGTGTTTGCCTTCTTCCCATCTACCTAATTACTGCATTTACGTTCATACATATTACATGATAAAAATATTTATGTATCACAAAGTCGATATTTGTATCATATTAATGAATACGTAACGTGTCTAAAATGAATTTTTACCGCTTAACCATAGTGACATTTATTCTAATTTTAATTTTTGATTCTTAACTTAAATAATTTATCTAGTTTGATGCAAATGATGGTGCGAATAGACATCGGCAAAGCTATAATATTAATTATGGGTTTGTACGAATCAAGTAACTAAAACGCTCTATAACTTTATTTACAATTTCATAACTTATAATTATAAACTTCAACTTTAAGAATAGATATTTTGCTCTTATACCATTATAGCACTCTTAACATTACTATACCAATCCGTACACCCACTACTTCTCTCACTCACTTCTCTT